TTTTAATGTTTTATAACATTATTAAAATTTTATAATTTTAATCTCTATAATTTTATCTTACTTTTTATTTTATAAATATAATTTAGATTATTCATTTTATAATTAAATTAATTTTTTTTAAAATCTTTTTATAAATTTACATAAAAAATGTATTGAAACTTCCCGATCTTTGAGGGTACCGTAGTAACTCCGTATAAATAATTAATGTATTATTTACACACCCTCCAAATTCAATTCTTAATCAAACTATACTGTAATTTAACCTGAATGTTTAGCACACTTGAAATTTGTACAAAGCTAATTCTCTCTTTTAAAAAAAGAAGAAGCTAAATCTCTTTTAAAAAAAACACATACGCTTAATAAGAATTATAATCGAAGCTGGATAACGTATACTAGGCGTGAGCAGAAATTTCGGCCCCAACCGAATTCGAAGTCTCCGTAGGTGAGTTTTTTGAGTGCGGCCAGTTTTTGACGGTTTTTCCGGTTTTTCGGGTTGTTAGAGTCGGTTTGTAATGGGTTTTGTTGGTCGGGTTCGGGTTAAAAAATTTGAACCGTGGGTATCCATACCCGACCGACCCAAAACACTTAAAAGATATAATATTTATTCTTTTAAAGGTAGCAGTAGCACCGCGAGACAAGAGGAAAACCCTAAGCGCCCTTCATCCTCATCATTGAGAGTGCTTTGTTGTTGTTGTTGTTGGGGTTGTTTGGTCTTGGATGAAGAATAGTTAGGGTAGCCATGTTTGATCGATTGGTGCTGAAGGTGTGGATGGTGCGGATCAATGTCATGATGGGTGGCATAGGGTACCATTTGGGGATGGTGTGGCAAATTGTGAGGGTTTTCAACTCCTACCAAGGCAGAGAACATTCCTTTGGGTTCCATCAACAAACACCTTCAAGTCAAGTTTTGAAGCAAAAGGAAGGAACTTTGAATGAAAAGCACTTACCCTTAATCGAATAGTTGAAGAAATCGAAAAGGGTAGCGATGGAGGAGGACATGAATATGGATGAAGGAATTGTGGGAGAGAAGAAAAAAATAAAAAATAAAAATATTGGGCCCAATATGGCCCAATCCGACTAACCCGATCCAATTAATCCGAGACCCGAAAACTCGAATCCGACAAACCCGAAACACTGTTCACGATCAAAAATGGGTTTTTTTTTTTGGATCGATTTGGATTGGGCTTAATAATTTCAACCCGAATCCGTCCGAATCCGCCCCGTGCTCAGGCCTAACGTATACTCCTACTAAGCAAGATTTAGGACACGTGACAATGCCACATGTCTCAACTTAACCCATAATAATAAATTAATAATTGGAAAAAGAAAAACGGAACGCAATCCATTCTTCAAAAAATCCAAGCAAACCATTCTCCCAAGTAGAGAAGAGTAAGCATATAATCGGAGGTTGAAGAAAGAGATGAGTGCAGCATTCCTCTACGGTTCGGTTATTCACCCATCACCAGCGATTCAACAACGCTTCCACTATCCATCTCCACCAATCCCTATTCGCCCCTTTCGCCTTTCCCCTCTCACCACCACACTTGTTTCCTCAACCGTCACCACCACCACCTCCGTCCTCCACCGCGATTCCGCGCCTGAACTCGCCTCCTCCTCCGCCGACTCCGACGACGCCGTTTCGTCGCCAAACGGAGCGGTTCGGTTGGATACAGAGCCGCGCGTCGAAGAAGCGGTTCCGCCGCTCCCTGCCGAAGACAAAGGACCGAGACTTCGGAAGAAGAAAGAAGACGACGTCGTTTCCGATAACCGCTACAAGCTCCGGAACGGAAGAGAGGTTTCTCCTCTTTACTCTTCGCTCCTTATTTTCTGTTTCTCTGGTTTGGTTTCTCCGATTCTATGAGTATTTGATGCTTTCAGGTTTTCGAAGAGAAAGCGTACCTCGTTGGCGTTGAGCGCAAGAACGAGGTTCAGGACTTCGGAATAGAAGAATCTCTCAGCGAATTGGCGCAGTTGGCTGACACTGCTGGATTATTGGTTGTTGGCTCTACTTACCAGAAGTAAACCGCTTCTAATTTTATTAAACGTGGTTTTGTAGTTACTCTAACTTCATTTTACAATATGGCATAGTTTAAAAAAAAAAAGAGGAAAATAAAAAAACAGTTATGTTATTGGTGCTTCTGATTATTGACTGCATTACTCTCGAGTCTTGATGTAGTCAAAACTTGCATCTGATTATATTTGTGCAGCCTTATTTCCACGCCTGTGACCTCCACGATAAACAATATGTAGTAATTCTTTATAGTGATTGATTATATATAGTAATTTGCAAGTTGGAGATTCCACATCAACTAGTGATATAGTCAAAATAGTATATGTAAGTGGAGGACAATTTTCACCTCACAAGGTGGTTTTGTAGGATTAAGTTAGTCAAAATCCACTTTCTTATTGTATTGTTTCTTTTCTTTTCTTTTGAGATGAAATGTTGGTAGTTGACTCAATTTCTTAATTACTATAAATGGTACAGGCTTACTTCCCCAAACCCTAGGACATACATTGGCTCTGGCAAGGTTTCTGAAATTAAGAGTGCAATTCATGCATTGGATGTTGAGACTGTTATCTTTGATGATGAGCTGTCAGCTGGGTAAGGGTCCTTTTTCCTTTGTTTGACATTTATGCCATCCATATGTGTGTTTCCCATTAAGACTAATTTTTGGCCATGCCACCATTTAGTTTTCATTTATTCTGTGGGTGCTTCGTCTTGATAACCGACCATAAAAGGTAGAGAAACTTAGAAGAGCTTTTGAGAACTTCTCTACTGGAAAAAAAAACTCTTTATTTTCAGTAGAGAAACTCTCAAAATCTCTTCTAAGCTTGTATCCAAATAGACTCTAAGTATGATGTTCTTTCTGGCTTTAATTGGAGCTGTTTGGAATTAAAATCATTCTGTTCTTTCCCGTTAGACCAAGGTTGCTGTTGAGGTTAGTTTGAAAACTTGGTTTCTATTTGAAGTGACTACGATGATTTGGAACCTTTTTGATTTTTAGGATGATAGTTAGCTAGCTTAAACTAACCTGTAGATTTCTTGTTTTGTCATTTATTCTTTTATAGGTCCAAACTGTTCTGCTCTACATTGCCTTATTATCTTTTGATAAATGACAGTGGAAGGGCTAATATTTAATAGGTTAAGATTAGATCTTTTCATTAGTGAATTAAGGGTTGGAGTCAATTTAATAGATTGCCTTGTGGTAGGGAATATCAATTTTGCAGGCTGGTGAAAAGGTATAAAGCAGTCAATTGTGGCCGTTTGGGGCAGTGAGTTTACCTGCAAAATTAGGATTTGGGGATTGATTAGTTCTTGGGTAACATCAATCAAGGAATACTAGGTTTTGACAGTGTAAGGTTAATTTTAGTTGTTAGGTCGGCATAGAAAATCAAGAAACAAAAAAGTAGCTGGAAAAAAGAAAAAAAATGATTCAATCTAAGAAACCTTGATTAGATTAAAGGTTATGGAAGTGGTAATTAAAGATTATATGGTGGGTGCACACTACTAAGGATAAAGCAAAACTTGGGCAAACGATTCTGAATGATTCCAATATCTGGCCTTTCGTTGAAGGAGATAGGCCCACTCTCTAGTAGGAAATTAGAAAAAATAAAAGATAGAGCAATTCATAATCTCTATGAAGTACACGGACCTCCCCGTGAAGAGACAGGATTCCTTAGCATTTGTTTTCATGCAAGTAAATGAAGGGAGGGAGGGAATGCGAAGGTCTTATTTGAGAGATTCCTAAAATGAGTGGAGGAAAACAAGGCATTGTAAGACTTCAAAACCTCATTCATTTTTTTATGAACATTTTGATGTTTACCATTTAATTGAGCCCAATGCCTTTTGTGATCCATATCGACAACCTGACCTAGTAGGATAAGGCTTTTGTTATTGTTTGAACTTCACCAATTTGGTGGATTTTAAAAATCCAGACAATGGAAGGAAACTTATTACATAACCTCCCAATCTCTTCCTTCCTATTCCTCTTTGTTCTCTTTTGATTATTTTCCTTGTACTTCTCTAAACTCTCAAACTTTTCCTCTAGTGTTCTTGTCTTGCTAATTGCTGTTAATGACTTTATACCGATTTTTTTTACTATTTTCAACTATACTGGCCCATAATTATGAGATTTATTTTTCCTAGACAGAAATTAATCAATTGACTTTGTTAATATCTAGACTATGACTATTAATCCACTTAATTAGCAAATAATAAATATTATTCTGCATCAGAAATCTGGACAACACGCTTTGAGTCCCCTAGGCATCTTCTTGATTGCATCATACTCATACAACTAAGAACAGAGCTATTTGCTGCTATTAATCATAAATATGCAATCTCCTAAAAGAGATCATTACTAGGGTTTAAGTATACCTCCTTTTTCCTACAATTATTTGCATGATAGAATTCTGATATTATAAGGTTTGAGACTTCTTCTACTAAAACCATGAAGGAAATTTGAAAATTAAATAAAAGTGAAAAACTCTATCTCTTGCATAAACCCAAGCTCAATTACAACCCATAATTTGAAAAAAATAACTTACAATACAACGTACTACTGCTAGGTATGGAAATACTGATTTATGAAAGTAACTTCTTACTAGTTAACAACCTTAATTAATTATGATCTAGTAAAATGTTTGAAATACTAAGAAAAGCCCCAAAATCAAAACTATGCCCATAAAACTGACATTTTGATGTTGAAGCTTATGATTTATTGTTACTAGTACATCCTGCATGCTTAAACTAACGCAGATAATTGATATAAGGTTTAATATGTCTGTTGTCCTTGAACTTTTTGGGTTTTTTTTTTTTAAATAACTCCCTAAACTATAAAAAATTATAGTTGAGTCTTAATTTTTAAAATTTTTGTAATTAGGTTCCTGGAGTTAATGGTTCATTACCTCGTTTACAGACCATTAACTTATGTCCTGAGACCTAATTACAAAATTGAAAAAGATTAGGGCCTAGTTAAAAAACTTTAAAATTATTCAATATAAAAAATGTGTTAAAATTCTTTTTTATTTTGAAATAATGGGAGAATAAAATTTTCCAAAATAATTTCCATCTGTTTTAAGCAAAGGCTCCTTATGCTCAATCTTGTCTCGCTTAAGCAACCAAGTTGGTTTGCTTAAGTGAGCTTGTCATGCTCAGCTTATTTCACGCTCTTGCTGGCCTTAGCTCCTTCCTTCTTCCCTGTATCTCAAAAACTAACAAAAAGGTAAAGATGTCAAAATAAGCCAAACCTTGTAGGTTAACCCAGCTCACCATGGTCCGGCTTGGGCCGGGATAGAAAAATTTTATATTGATTTTGGCTAAATTCCAACCCGGCTCACTTAACCTGCGAGCCAAATGGGTTTGATTTAAAGTAAGTCAGGTTGGCCCGTTTAACCCATTTCAATTAAAAAATAATTCTTTTTGCTAATGTAGTTGTCATTGGAAATTTTGATTGATACTTTCTTTTATATTTGCATTTGAATCTGTTCAGGCCGCAAAAAGTTTCTCGTGACTAGAGCACTAACGTACAAAATTTCTCTCTCTCTCTCTCTCTCTCTGGTGTTGTTGCTCTGATAAATTGTGTGTCTTTCTAGGGTTTTTGCCTGCCTATTTAACCTAATTTTTCACTGTTATCTTTGATATCCTTTTTTCCTGTATTTGCGGCATATCCTTTTAGGATCGTATCAACGTGCATCTTGTATGCTTGATATCTCGTATTTTTGTCTTATCTTTTTATCCAAGATAATCCTTTTTATCGCAATCTAAGTAGATCGCGTATCTGTATAAATCTCAGTTCTGAGGTGATCTACTAAGACGAATAAGCTAAAGAGCAACTCGGTTTCAAACCATTATGAGCTCGGCTGGGATTTCTTAACAACCCTTAAAGGTGATAAGCTCGTCCCAAAACCTAGATCTACTCTAGAAGAGGTTCTGAATTCTTGTAGCTTGTTAAATCGGTATGGGCCCCAGGGAATGTTAAACGAGCTCGATTGTCGAGTTATGAAGGAATATCTTAGTCTGACAGTTAGATACTTTTTAAGTAGAACTCATAAGCCAGGTTGGATCTAGGCCGAGGAGGGTATACAACCCCGGGACCCCTTAGTCTTAAGCTTAACGAGGCATAAAGACTATCGAGTTCAAACTCTGACCTCTACAACTTATTAGGGTTTAGGTTATCGAGCTATGAGTATGAAGAGACATCTCAGTCTGGCACTTGGATACTTACTTAGTAGATCCCATAAGCCAGGTCGGATCCAGATCGAGGAGGGTACAAAATCAATGATAGACTTGATTACTTGACATTAAAAGTTGTAACTCTTTATTTTCCTTATTAAAATCAGGAACATGTAATTTTTTTTTTGTTTTTTGTTTTTTATTTTAAAAAAATTGGTGAGCCAACCCACCTAATCCAACATGTTGTGGGTTGAGCCGGGTTAGGATTTTCCTAACTCAATAGAAAGTGAGTTGGGTTGGGCTGATCCATTTAAAACACCAACTAGTGGGAAGTCAACCGTGTGAGTTGGGTTGGCTCACTTTGACACCTTTAACAAAATGCATAAAAAAACACCTAAAACTTAAATAAATCTATTGATTAAATAGGACTAAATTAAAATACTTTTTTTTTTTTTTATAGAGACAAGGCTGTAAAGCATAAGATATGCTTGATAATTGTCTAAATTGAGTAAAACATATTGACAATTTGACATATGTTTGGCAATTATTAGCTGTCAAAGTTGGCCTGATCCATTGGCTTGGTGGGTTAGTTCAAAACAGGTCAATTTGGGTCGTGAAAAAGCTGGTAGTTAAAAGTTACCAAGCCTATTTGGCTTGATACATATATATTATTTTTTTTTTTATATTTTTTTATATAATAAGTATATAAAGTTATGCAAAAGAAAAAATAAAATGTGTTAAATTGGTCATGGCTTTCAAGCCATACGGGCCAAAATATTTGTACCCTATATAAAAATTGGCTTGATCTACTTTTCAAACTTTGGCATGTCAAACCAGTTTGGGGGTTAAGCGGCTCATTTTGACAACACTACTAAAAATACAACTCTGTCCTTGAATATTTCTTATATAATTTGTTATATATATGCATTATTGTATCGAGTGACCTAATGGTTCTTTTAAGTTCTAGGACAGAGAAGAATCTTGGAAGGAGATTTATAAGGTGTGCAAATTATAGGGCATGTCTCACATTACTAAGTTTTACTACTTCTTCCATTGGAGGAATTCCATCAACAACGATATCGTCTCATCATGAATAACACTTTGGTGTGCTCTTATGGATCCATCATCTTGATAATAATCAGTATAAGTTGGCTCATTTGATCCACCAAATTCATCATTTAATGTCTCAACCATAAAAATTTTTGGTTTAACTTTGCAAGCTGCCCACCATTCACCACTAGATCTATCCCCACTTTGTGGGTATCTTGTTTAATAAACTTCTTGTGCTTGTTCAACTAAAACAAATGGCTCATCTGATTGAAGCTTTGATTTATGTTTGATATCAACCAACCCATATCTTTCATCAATAGTGACACCATTTGGGTCAAACCAATGGCAGCGTAGGATAATTAATCTTTCATGTCCAAGATATGATAATTTTAATATCTCCTCAACAATACCATAATAGTCCAAATCATTCTCACTATATATATTTCCCCAAACGCACACCCCACTATTCATGGTGGCTTTATTATGTCCATAGTCCTTAGTATGAAATCTATATCCATTAATTATTAAGCCATTAAAAGAAGTTGCAAATTTAGATGGACCATAACTTATCTCTTTAATCATTTGATCCTTAACTTGATTTGTACTTACCTGTAAATGCTTTCAAAGAAAAAAAATGGTTGCATCATTTAGTATATATTATAAATATTAAAGAGAACATTATATACATTTATCAATAAGTTGACTCACTTGATGTTTCAACCATTTACTGAAGTTTTTATCGCGAGTTTCCACTATTTCATCCTCATCAATATTGGGATTTGTTTCCCTTAGCGAATCCTCAAATTGTCTAATACATATAATAAAATTAATAAGAAAAGTAATTTCACTATAAACTACCAAAAATGAGAAATTAGGGAGCAAACTTACTAGAGATAAGGTTCCACTTCTTTACAATTTACAAGAACATATGTCTCAGCAATTTCAAGCTCTTTATCTGTTAATATTATTTTTTGACCCTTGCCAATAGGACGACATGGGTATTTAAAAATAGACAACTTATCATCACCATTGGCATCTTCACCACCATCATCATTTCGAGGAACTTGAGTGTGTCTTGTTTGTATAGTTGGATCAAAGTACATAGAAGCAAAATTAGAAATTTCTTCCACAATATAAGCTTCACAAATGGATCCTTCAACCCTTGCTTTATTTCGAACCTTCTTTTTCAAGTACAACATGCACCTCTCAAATGGATACATCCATCTGTACTGCACTGGTCCTCCAACCTTGGCTTCATAAGGGAGATGCACAATTAAATGTTCCATGGAATCAAAGAATGCTGGCGGGAAAATCTTTTCAAGCTTGCAAATTGTTTCAATAATGGAAACCTTAACATTGTCCATGACAGAAGTACGTATCTCATGTGCACAAATTTCTTTGAAAAACAAGCTGAGTTCTGTTAATACTCCCCATATTGGCTTTGGCAACATATCACGAAATGCCAAAGGAATTAGTCTTTGCATAAAAACATGACAGTCATGACTTTTCATTCCATATATCTTTCCTTCATCTATATTAATGCAACGTGATATGTTAGATGCATATCCATCTGGAAATTTTAATTGTTTTTAACCAAAGATCGGAATCAATTACAGGATGAGATGAAATGTCTTCTCCATATTTTTGTGTCATTGATTCTTCATATGTTTCCTTCAAATAATAAACAAAAAAATTTAGAGAAAATATCAAGTGGTTAAAAAAGTAATCAATCTTAAAATATAAAATAACATACAATAAAGTTCTTTGTTATACACTTCACGATAAGAAATAGGACGATTCTGTTCTACCTCCTGTAAAAAGATTATAATACAAATTGTAAGTAATGAAATTTATCAAAGAAACCAATTAATTTTCAAAACCCTTAACTTTGACAACTTGTTAAAGAATTGAAAAAAAAAACTACACTTTTAAAGAATAGTACACCTTTCAAGTGCATTTTCAAAAAACTGCACTTTAAAAAAAATTCCATGGGTAAAGACAATTTTTAAAGACATCATTAATAACACAATTTTAATTGTAACAAATTCCAAATATTAGCTAAATTAATAAATCTAAAAAATAAGTAACTTTTACCATGGATTATCTAAGTAAAACAATTATATTACAATAGGAATAAAGCAAACATCACTCATTAATATTACTGACAAAATTCAATAAGATTTGATTACCATAATTTTTTTTTTGTTTCCCAAAGCTTCTTGACCCTCTTGTGTGCACCATTGTTTTAGGCTGGGCAGCCCTATTTGTCTTCCAGCAATAGATTTCTTTTGTCATTCTGGTGTCTTCAAAATGTCAATCAACCCATTTCATATTTCAGCTTTCATCCCTCTAGGCTTGTGAGCCCTTAAATCCTCATAATTCCTTGAGTTTGTTGCTTTTATTGCTTTATCCCTGTCTTTACACAATTGATCAGAATACCTATTCATGCATGTTTTTTCCTAAATTTCCCTTGCCATCACACGATCATATTCTGATGCAAAACGATATTTTTCCTACAATAACACAACTTAAGTAAAAAATAGTTGTTGATATAATGATATATATAGTATATAATACTATTAGAATAATTGCTTACCTTAAAATCATTAAATAATATTTCTTTCATTTCAGGACAATAACTTTTCCAACAATCTGCAGCATAAAGCATCCTTGACATTACCTCAGAAATGATATAACGAGTCACAAATTGTTAAGCAAACCTCTTTCTATAATTCAATTAAAGTCACAAATAGTTCAATAACATGAATTTAAAGTATTAATCATAATCATTGATAAATTCAATTTTACTTACGGTTTAGAAATTGTCTCCACAGATATTATTTGCCTCCTATTAATTTCTACATTAGAATCTTCACTTGAAGGCACCATAGTAGGTTGTTGATTATTAGATGTTGGGATAATAGTTGGCATAATGATTACCTACATAAAGGAATACAATTTAATAAAACAACCAAAAGTAATCATTTATATGGGAAATTAAAGTCATAAAGAATCACAAGTAATCAAATAAGGTAATACTAGTACTAATTAGAAACCCTTTTATCTAATTCTTAATTTAACACTAAAAAATGAGTAATTATGTGTAGTGTGTTGAAACTAAAACCTTTTAGAATATATTCATCACCTTTCAAAATGAAGTTGTTAATCATAACTAGATTCTGAATTATATAATTCCTCATCATCTATGAACTCGTTAATATCTTCAATCTCATCATCTTCAATGTCATCAACAAAGTGTTCATGATGCAAGGTGTCCATTGGATGATTTATATCATTGTTGTCTACTTCTTCCATTGGAGGAATTCCATCAACAACGATATCGTCTCATCATGAATAACACTTTGGTGTGCTCTTATGGATCCATCATCTTGATAATAATCAGTATAAGTTGGCTCATTTGATCCACCAAATTCATCATTTAATGTCTCAACCATAAAAATTTTTGGTTTAACTTTGCAAGCTGCCCACCATTCACCACTAGATCTATCCCCACTTTTGTCGAGTGGGTCTTGCCGGAGCTAGGCGCGTGGGCTACACGCACCGGCGACGGTGGTGGCGCGTGGCGGCGTATTTCCCGGAGTGAATTCTGGCGTTGTGTTCGCCGAAGTTGGGCGCACCTTTCTGCCCTATCAACGACCCCAACGGCTACGGTTTTCTTAAATGGGTTTTGAAATTATAAAATTTGTTATTCAGTTAATTTGTTTTCTTCCAATTTTTGTAATTAGGTCCCTAGGATCACAATGTAATAAAGAATATTCTGTCAAAGTTAACAGTTTGTAAATAGACCATTAACCCCATGGACTTAATTACAAAATTTGGAAAAGATTAAGGACTAATTTTATTATTATTATTCATACATATTACATTTTCCTTATACCTATTTGTAACAATCTAATCTTCTAAAATAAGGAAATAAGGAAAAATATTCTGAAAAATATCCTAGAAGATTCTATAGATATTTTCTCTAATTAGGAAGATTTTTTCTCTAATTACAACGGTGTGCAAATTATAGGGCATGTCTCACATTACTAAGTTTTATTTTCTTGAACATTTTGAGTTTTCTTAAATGGGTTTTGAAATTATAAAATTTGTTATTCAGTTAATTTGTTTTCTTCCAATTTTTGTAATTAGGTCCCTAGGATCACAATGTAATAAAGAATATTCTGTCAAAGTTAACAGTTTGTAAATAGACCATTAACCCCATGGACTTAATTACAAAATTTGGAAAAGATTAAGGACTCAATTACAATTTTTTATAGTCTAGGAACCTATTTAAATAAACCTAAAAAGCTTTAGGAATATATTGATGTATTAAACCTTGTTATAATTGTACTCTTTTTCTTGTTTTTTGTTTTCCTTGCTTTGATTCTCAGACAACTGCTCCAACATTCATTAATTTTTTATTGTTACATTGCTGCACAAGGAATGTCACCCTGCATCTCACATAAAATTGCTGGTCCTGCTAATTTTAGGCAATTGCGCAACTTGGAAAAGATTTTTGGTGGAGATGTGAGAGTTTGTGATCGAACCGAACCGCTCTCATCCTTGATATATTTAATCAACGAGCAGCAACACATGAAGCGTCTTTACAGGCAATTATAAATTAGAAAGAGCTTTCTCCAGTATTCTTTGCTTATATTAGAGTATCATTGCCTGATCCACTCAGTTGAAATATAAATGCAACGTGGACTTTTCTGTGAGTTTCATGTTTTATATTTTTGTTAATCTCAAATCTTTAATTTTAACCATCACAAGATCATAATACAAAAATAATTATTTATTGATCGTTTACCCTAATAATTACATGATAAGTATTTTTGTTTTAAATATCATGTACAAAAAGTATTTTATATCATCAATTCATTATTAAGATGATAATATATAAAAGTCTATGGAGAAAAATTGATGTACTGTATATCTCAATTGAGACATTTTGTATGATACTAGCCACTAATTTTGCTGGAGGTACTGGTACCCTTAGAAAGCAAAAGAAACCATCAAAATCTCCAAATTATAAGTACTTGTTATTACCATAACCAGCTTTGGCAGGGATGAGAATCTTAAATCCTTCTTCTGACTATCTTAAGGCCTTTCTAACCCTAGGTTTCATTAGCACAAATGGAATATCAACTACCTCGTCTAACAAAAATGTGGACTCATCTTGAGCGTCAAGCAGGAGGAAAGGTGAAGGGAATGGGTGAAAAACAAATAGAAGTCGACAAGCGTATTTTGCGTAACCAAGTAAGCTAGCAGTCTTATACAATGGTCAAATTTATCAGCCTTTCTGTGAAAATATTCTATTTGGTTGAATCATTGTGCTTTGTACTAGTGTAATACTGGCAAGAATAGACACTATCTGAGTTGTAACCTACCTGTTACATACATTATGCATAGTTCACAGTTTTATCTGCTTTACCTCTGGAATCTTAATTTTTCCATCAAATGTCTAATGCCTGGGTTTTGGCAGATTGGTATTCTTAAAAAAGAGCTAGAATCTGTTAGGAAACACCGAAAGCAGTATCGTAATAGGCGTTTCTCAGTACCTGTGCCGGTGGTATCCTTGGTTAGTTTTTTACAATTCTATTGTGGCCATTTAATGTTTGGGTGACCTTTGCAGCTTAGACATCATGGTAATGTATGCCATATAAATGACAATTTGATAATGCTTTTGACAACATTGCAGGTTGGTTACACAAATGCTGGTAAGAGTACACTTTTGAATCAACTAACTGGAGCAGATGTTCTTGCTGAGGATAAATTATTTGCAACTTTAGATCCAACTACTAGGAGGGTACAGGTCAGTCTAAACACACTTGGAGAATTTCCTATTTTTTATATGCAAACTATTTTTTTTTATAAATTGTTTATTTCTTTCAACTATTGTGCGTGCCCTTCTTATTTGTAGTGAGATTCAGGTGCCATCTTCAACTATTTTACTAATTACTAATTACTAACTAAAGAACTAGCTAAGAGCTTATAATTTTCCTTTTCCTTGCAGCATAGCCATTTCCTATTTTTACAGTGGATAATGGCTGTGGGATGACTAAATTCATCGATTATGATTTTTTGATAAAATTTTTTTATCAAAATTTAATCCGAAAGAAAATATTTGGCACCTCTAAAGTGAGGGTATATGTAAAGTAAGGTGAGGTCTATTCACATCATTGATTTATATTAAAGTATCTTGTAAATTTAAATCACTTCAAATTAACAGTTATTAGACCCTTACTTTCTCACTTTACAGCCCTCCCTATTACAAGGAGCTAATTTCTGCAGTAAAATAAATCTTGTGTGGTTTAAATTATGATTATTGTAACATGCTGTGCTTTGCTCCTTTTCTTTCATCCAGATGAAGAATGGAAAGGAGTTCCTCCTAACTGACACTGTTGGTTTTATTCAGAAGTTACCTACTACACTAGTAAGAAAGATAACTCTCTTACAATCAATTTTTCCCTTGATGTCTGACAAAAATTATGCTTTTGAAATTTTCTATTTTTTTAAAACATGGTTTACTATCAACTTAACATGTTGAATAAGTTGAGCCCAAGAGCCCAAATTATGAAGTAATCACTGAAAACCACCTTCTGATTTCTGTAGGTTGCTGCCTTCAGAGCTACACTGGAGGAGATAGCAGAGTCATCACTCTTGGTGCATGTGGTTGACATCAGGTTATATACATACAAGTGAAACTGCTGTGAGGAACTTTATTTTTAGAGAAAAGAAAGTTAGTGAAATTAGTGGTGTTGACTTTGGATTTCGTTAATTATATTTTTGAATTGCAGTCACCCCCTGGCTGAGCAGCAGATAAATGCTGTGGACAAAGTCTTGTCAGAACTAGATGTATCATCAATTCCAAGATTGATGGTCTGGAACAAGGTATTGATGAACATTTTTGTTTCTTTTCTTGTTCTGAAATAGTCTATTGAGTTGGTCCATTTCCCTTTATCTTTGTTAATTTGTAAAGACATTAAGGTATTGGCTTGGACCTCTGCTGTCCTTTCATTTATTGGTTGGTTAGGAATTTGGTTATACGTTTTTCAAGACCTTAGCCTATTCTAGATTTACTTTATTGGTTACACATTATTGATATGGCAAGAGTGTGAGTCCTTTTCAAACCTGTTGTCAGGTCTATGTGGAATGACAAGGGTAGAACTCATTTGCTTTAACCTTATATAAGTACAACTTACCATTCTGATACCTCATGGCACTCTGTTTGATTGTTTGTAGTGTAATGTTTTTGGGTTCAAGGTACTCATTTTAAATAATAAAAGATCAGACCCCATGCAGAATTTTTAAGGATATCAGAAGTCATGTCTCTTATCCTGTGTGTATTGTCTTTGAGTGAGAGATCAGAGAATGAATACTGCTTGAAGAAAGTTTATGAACTTGAATGTTTTGTTTTAAGAGATTGGTATGCGGACACTTACTTGGTGGAAGGCCATTAGCTAATGTTTGTAATATGGGCCAGCTATTTTATTCTTTATTTTTGGTGTGGTGGTGATGAGATCTTGGTCATGACTGAGGTTTGTTGATTGCTTGACAGAGCTTATGTTAATGAGACAAAAGGGTAATTTCAGTAGCATTGGTTTTGATGTTTGAGATCTAGAAGGATAATAGAATTGTTAGTGTACTGAGTGGATGTATGGCATCTTTTTTATAGGCGTTGTTTGTATTGTAATGTTTTTGGGTTTAAGGTACTCATTTTAAATAATAAAAGATCAGACGCCATGCATTTTCATTATGGCTTCTCTAGTTCCCTGTAGCATAAATAGCAGTCAGGTCAATATAGCTTAATCATGTGACGAAGGTTACAGGCTGTCACCAAATTCAGTGTTTGCTATAATTTGGAGCAATGATTGCGAATCACAATCACTCGATCCCTCTAATTTGAGTAGATTCATTGTTGTCCTTAAACTTTCTATTGTTCAATTTACTCTTCAAATTTCTAAGCTCAATTTCAGCCCCTGGATTTTAATTATTGTAATTTAATCTTTAAACTTACCTAAATAAGTTCTTTATTTTATTTCCTTATTGATGTATTATTGTGTTTAATCAAAAGGCCTGATTATATCCTAGTTAATTCTGAATTATTTATGTTCCCTACAGAATATTAAAATTTAAAATTGTTCCAACAACCATATAATTTGGGATGTAATTGAACTTATTTATGTGGAGGACTAACTTGAAATTTTAAACAATTGAAAGCAGAGGAGTTTACTAACATTTTAATGAAATTGTTATAATTATAAAACCATTCATATATGTGCCTTTACTCAATAATTTTAGCTTTTGGTATAGTTGATTTATGATATGGTATCCATGCCTGTATGACCAAAGATCAAGTGGACAAAAGGTTGAATATGAGCACAAGGTAAGTATGTGGGTGTGGGTCAGTGCGATGTCTATGCTTCTTCTCCCAAAAGGCTCTTGGGGGCATGTTATTATAACTACAAGTAATAAAACTATTCATGTGTCTGTACCTAACAACTTAAGTTTTTAGGATAGTTGATTCATTATAACAACTAGGGGAATGTGTCGTATAAATTATCTTAGTTTTTTTTTTTTTTAATTTTTTTTATCAGCATAGCAACATCAGATACTGGGACGTAAGTGTCATGTATAACCAGAATGCTTTAAATCAATTCCAGGATTTAATGGCTTGCTTTGGTACAAAATTGGTTGTCTTTTTAAAAAAATTGCTTAATTTACAGCAATAAAATTCTTCTCTTAAAATTGGCTCAAGTATGCTATTTAAGAGGACTGAGGTCGATTTTTCCTGTCATCAACAAGCTTTACTGTGCACCCAAAATTGAACTTAGTACAGCATGAACTCCAGGTTAAACATTTGGTGTATCTGACTTCTTATTGCAGGTTGATAACGTTAGCGATCCCCTGAAACTCAGGCTAGAAGCTGAAAAAAGAGAAGATGTTGTATGCATATCTGCTTTAAGTGGTGATGGCTTACAAGAATTTTGTAATGCAGTTCAAGACAGGCTAAAGGTACAAACTTGGGACCAATCTAAATATAATTGAAAATGTACCATTTTACTATCTACATTTGCTAATCAAAATTCTATTATTCATTAACAGGATTCTATGGTTTGGGTTGAAGCTCTGGTCCCATTTGAAAATGGGGACCTTCTCAGCACCATACACCAGGTTGGAATGGTTGAGAAAACTGTAAGTATATACCGATGCCCATCAAATCTTTACTAATTAACCAATCATGGAACTGGTTTTTCCTTTCCCTTTTAAGCTGGTAGATTTACGGTGTTTATCATATCATGATTTTCCAATTGTTATTGTTGGATTTCCTTATATTTTTACTTTGAATTCTTATATAGGAATATACAGAGCAAGGGACATATATCAAGGCACATGTGCCCCTGCGTTTTGCAAGAATGCTTACACCCATGAGGCAACTGTGCGTATCCCGACCTTGAGTTCAATATATCTAATTTTGCAGCATAGCATGTACATATGTGTGTAATTATTGAAATCATGTCCGCAAGCCCTTGATGGAGATGCACTGACGCAGTGGGATGGCAATGCAAAATTTGTTTGCATTCACAGTTAGTAGCAATGCATAATTGCATATCCAATTCAGATTTGGATTCTTTCATGTATTGATAAACATGACAGGGTTATGTTGAAAAAGAAAGACAAATGGATCTTATAGCCAATCATAGTGAGTCCTTGTTTGATAAAAAAAAATGTATCTTTCTTTAACGTGATCATATCATGATACCCAACATGAGGGAATTCAAATCCATCTGATTTTTGTTTCAATTTTAAATATTGTTTAATCATTAAGACAGCATTACTCTGTAAAATCCCTAAGATAATTACTTACCAGCAAAGATTATTCAATTTGTTTTTTCTTTTTGTTACAAAGAAAAAGCGAAAAACAAAAGAGAAAGATCTCACGGCATTAGTCAGCAACAAAGAACCCATGCCCGCGGGGGCCGTATGTAAAATCCCCATACTGTCTGTCCTCTGAACTAACGCCCATCCTAGCCAAAATATCTGTGATTCTGGGAAAAATGTAAGGAAGACAGAGAAATTCGTATCCTCTAGTAATGTTTAAACCTTTCCTAATTTTATGGGTATAGATCATAGTCAATTTATTAAATCAGTTATGGGAATGGGATAAGTATATATTTACACATCTTTACTTTAATTTTTTAGGAATTTACTTGATTATGTAATTCTTGTTCTATTTTAAATTTATGCTAAACTAATTTAATTTTGTAATTATATTATGTTGATTTTTTTATATATTTTTCAAAAAAGAAAATATTTAATGAATTTCTAGACAAGTATAGGGTGGATATGGATATATTTGATATTCGGCGGGGATAGAGATGAGGATGCAAAATTCATATCCATTGAGTATGAAATGAAGATGAGAATGAGTATAGGGTATGGACATGAAGATAGAAATGGGATATTAAAACTTGCATATGTTAAACCGTTACATCCCATTTTTCATTTTTATCTTAGCATAATGATTTTTCTTTTATGAATGGTTTGAACACATCTATATTTCTTTATTTAGTTTATTCACTTCATGTGTATTTATAAATACAGTAAGCTATAATAATATAAATTAAAAAGTAAAATTAAGAGGAAATTGATGCCATCAATACAAATTACAAAGTAATTATGTGTACTGTAGATGAAGAAATTTGAGTATTGACAAAAGAAAGGGGAAAAAACTAGGTTTTTTATTTATTTATTTATTTATTTATTTATTTATAAATATATATACACATTTCTACGTAGAACCCAATGATTATATTAAATTAGTTCCGTTTTGAATATTAGTCTCCAGTTGACCTGGAGTTCAAACGAACTAAAGAAGTGTATGTGATATTCAGTTAAGCAATGCGCGTATGAAATCAATCAAATCATAACCGAGAGTGGTAAAGAATATTTCATCTGTCATGACACCCCTTATGAAGATCTTCTACCTAATTGTAAAATCCCCATAAGTTCAAACGAATATGAACTCAACTGAACTTATAAAAATTATATTGAATTTAAAAATAGTTTTCCTGAATTAAACTAAATATTAGTTCAAACGAACTGAACTGAACTATTTTTTTGTGTCATTGAACTGAATTGCAATTTAAACTGCACTGAACTGTTATGATATTTTGAATTGAACAATTTTGATTCATTGATCTATCAAAATAGGACACATTTGCCAACATTACTTTATTTTCTATTTTATTTAAATTTTTCAAAGAAAAAAATATAAAATTAAGTCAAACAAAATCAGTGAATTTTAAGCCTAAAAACAAGTAGTCTAACATAGCTCAATTGATCCGTTAGATTCGACAAAAGATACAATTTTTTTTGAATCACTTTTTTCTCTCTAAAGTTTTGGTTATTAGACTATCGAGTTAATCCATTAAGACATAACATGTTAGACACATTTAATTTTTATCCTTTTATAAAAATAGTTTAATTTTTGTAATTTAGTTCAATTTTATAGTTCAGTACAGTTAACTTTTCAACAGTTCAGTTCAGTTTTTTTTTAAACAGTTTAGTTCAGTTTTTTTACAAACAGTTCAGTTTTTTATAGTACAGTTCAGTTCACCACCAGTTCAGTTTTTTTTGTCCACCCCTACTCTGAACTAACGCCCATCCTAGCCAAAATATCTGTGATTTTGGGAAAAATGTTGAGCCATCAAAGTGGGTTTTGACCCCAGGTCAATCCGCCCACCTTGAAAATGGGTCAGGCTGAGAAAAAAATGAAAAAATTCATAATGGGTCAACAAAATGTAACCTGCTCCACTTTCGACCCGGCCCACCTAAACTACTTACACCTCCATAAACCTAACTTACTAACAACTCACTTAATTAATTATTACTATATATGTATTATTTTAACAAGATATCATTATTTTTTGTATATAAAGATAAACTCAATGTTAAATAATATGAAATTGTTATAAATTTATCTCCTCAAGTCTCTAATAAAATTTAATATTGATGAATAATCACTCTTATGAAAAGATTTTTATTTTTTATTTTTGATTATTTAAAGTTGTACACCTTTTAATTTAAGTTTAATGTTGTATACATGATACTTAGTTTGATAATTTTTATTTTAGATTAGAGATTATTTTATATTAAAATTTATTTTAACTTAGATTTTTTTAAAAAAAAATAGGTGGGTTGATGGGTTAACTTGTTTAGTCCACCAACCTGTGGTGGGTTGGGTCGGGTTAAAAAATTTTGGACCTTAAAATTGGTGGGCTGGGTCAGGTTAACCCACTTAAAAAGTGGGTTGAGGTAGGTTGGGTTAAACGGGCTGAATAATCTGTTTTGAAAACTCTAAAAAAATGTAACGAAGACAAATAAATTTGTATCCTCTAGTAATGTTTAAACCGGGCCCAACTTTATGAGTATAAATTATAACCGATTTATTAAATTAGATATGGAATGAGATAAGTATATATTTACACATCTTGTACTTGTACTCCACTTTAAAATTTTAGAAATTTACTAATAATGTAATTCTTGTTCTATTTTAAATTTATGTTAAATTAAATTTAATTAATATAATTTTGTAATTTTTATATTATGTTGATTTTTTATATATATATTTTTCAAACAAGAAAATATTTAATGAATTTCTAGACAAGTATAGGGTGGATATGAATATATTTGATACTCGACAGGAATAAATATGAGGATGCAAATTTTATATCCATTGAATATGAAATGAATATGAGAATGAGTATAGGGTATGAACATGAGGATAGCGACATGATGTTAAAACTTGCATCTTGCATATGTTTTATCCCATTGTTATCTTTAGTATAGTGATTTTCCTTTTTTATGAATGGTCTGAACACATTTATATTCCTTTATTTAGTTTATTCACTTCATGTGTATTTATAAATACAGTAAACTATAACAGTATAAACTAAAAAGTAATTAAGAGGAAGTTGATGCCTTCAATACAAATTACAAAGTAATTATGTGTACTGTAGTTGAAGAAATTTGAGTATTGACAAAAGAAATGGGAAAAACTAGGTTTTTTTTTTTTTTTTAATATATATACACATTTCTACCTAGAACCCAATGATTATATTAAATTAGTTCCGTTTTGAATATTAGTCTCCCGTTGACCTGGAGTTCTAACGAACTAAAGAAGTGTATGTGATATTCAGTTAAGCAATGCGCGTATGAAATCAATCAAATCATAACCGAGAGTGGTAAGAATATCTCATCTGTCATGACACCCCTTATGAAGATCTTCTACCTAAACTGCTGAGGATATATGATGTTAGCCTTTGGAAATTTACAGTATTAAATATAAATGCCGTAGAAAAAATTGCATCCAATGGATGAAAAACTTCATGCAGTGCAATTCTCTCAACTGCACTGGATCCATATCCGCTTCTTCTATGCTTGGAATCATATTCAGTTGTATCCGAAGAAGAAAAAGATTAAAAAAAAAAAAAAAAAAACGGAAAGCAACTATCTAACCATAACGCGGTGTCTGTGATTGTATCTTTTCAATAATAGATGAAGACGTTGTCACGATGTTTCAGTTTTTCAACGCGTACAAAGACTCTCATATCATTTCCATTATGCATGCGCCAGCAAGAAAGGAGACTCTGCTTCTTCTTCAGCTTCAATAATAATGCTCAAGAAAATAAATAAATAAAATCCAATTCCATTATTTCTTAATGAGTTAATGATATTTTTTCCCCCATATAAAATTGTCAATTTTTGGTTTTTGCCCCCAAGTTTTAAAACACTTATTTTCGTTTCTATATTTTCTAAATACTTAGACTTTTGGTCTTCTAGTCTAACAATGTTAAGTTACTGTATAATTTTCTTGAAGATCTGGTGCGAAATCCGTGTGTACCATAGCTTATCAACAGTAACTGTTTGAGAGTACTTAAGAAATGCAATGACAAAAGGCGAAAGCTTCCAAAATGTTGCAATTTTGAAGAGACGAAAAATACCATCAACCCATTTCATAATTCTTATTTTTCAGGCTGAAAGTGATAATCCACTTTCTGATATTTTTCATACATAAATTATGTAAAAAACACTTGAATAACTAGCCGTTGGTAACTCGATTATTCTATGATTCATCGTGAGTTATAAAGAAACTTTCGGGTCATTAATTAAATGTTCGTCAAGTTACTATAGTCAATTTACCCGTAAGACACATAACAATGTGGAGGTCCAGATGTAGCTTATTATTAACGTCATAATTGTATATCAAAATAAAATAAATTCTTCACTGTTTTGATCTGGTCCAGGAGCAGGTAATAGTAATACCAGAACCATGCACTGTCAAAACCAAACAACACATCATCAGAAGCAGTGCAAGCACACACCATGTTACTTTGTTGAAACAGTCAAAGTCTTGGTTCCCAGTTCCCACACAATGTGATTTGATAAAGAGAGTGGGTGGTTTGATATCTTGAGCAGTATATATATCAAACATGCCAATCCAATGGACATATATACAATCACCAAAATTAACAACCTCTCTCCCCAACTCAGTTGCCACACTTGTCATCATGCATTTCATCAAAGTCACTCTTGTAATGATAACTTTCCTCTCAGTTAAACTCTCCCATGCGAACCCTGGCTTTCATTTTGGCTGGGGTGGTCATCATGGGGGGATATCTTTTGGTCTTTCACCTCAATTCTATCAGTTTTCATGCCCTCAAGCTAATGACATTGTCATGTCAGTGTTGGACAAGGCCATTGCAAGGGACATGAGAATGGCTGCTTCTCTACTTAGACTTCACTTTCACGATTGCTTCGTGCAGGTGAATTCATTACACTTGTCATGACAAACCCCACATGAAAACGAATAACCATAATCATAAAAACAAAATCAAATTCTTTACCAAAACCTGTTGAGAAAACTCTTAATTGTTAGCACAACTTACATGCAGTATTGCAAGTGTTATTGGAATTATTCTCTCATCAGAATTGAAGTTTCACTTCAATAATATACTTAATAAAAGATTTCATTTAATGTGAATGTGTATTAGAATAGGTGTCATATCTAAGTTTTGTACTTTTCTTTTTCTTTTTCTCTCATATCACATTATTTGCCTCATTCCACACTTTTCTTTCTTCTTTTCTTATCTTTCTTTTGTGTAGAAATTGTATATAGTACTATGAATAGCATTAACTACTATCTTTATTAAACAGTTTCAGGTTCTTTTCTATTCGTAGTTCGATGGTCTAAATTTTCTTGTTCTTTTATTTTCCAATTTCCATGCATGGCAGGGCTGCGATGGATCGATTTTGTTGGATGATAGTGCAACAATAGTCAGTGAAAAAAATTCTGGACCTAACAAAAACTCCGTTCGAGGTTTCGAAGTGATTGATGAGATCAAGTCTAAGTTGGAAAAGGCATGTCCTCATACTGTCTCATGTGCTGACATTCTTGCCCTTGCTGCCAGGGGCTCCACTGTTCTTGTAAGTGAACACTCTTCATTCAAATTGTGACAAAACAGTATTATTCACTTTGCATTTTGTGTGACACACTTAAATACACTTTATTTAACACTATTTATTATTGACTAAATTTTATAAAGATATCAACATCATGAAAAATATTTGTTAAATAAGAAATAAGAAATATGTTACAAATAAGTTGTTGGTTCAAATAATACTAAAATCAGAATTCAAGTCTTGTAAACAAGAGAATGTGTTCAAAAAAGAATATCTAACTAAAAATGATCAATTAGGTTTTCGGTACAGATTACTTATTCAAAGTCGGTATAGATTACTTATTCAAAGTTGATAAATATTTTATACTAATGCTACAGAGTGTTTCACACCAATGACATGGAGATCAAAATAAATAAATAAATCATATGTTAAGTTGTAAATCCTAGTAAATTTCAACTAATAATAGTGTATTGAAAAGAAAAAAAAAGTGTCACACAATGGATTATTAGCATTTTTTCGCATGAGCCATGTTAAGTTTTGAGCCTTATTTGCTTCTTTTAAAACAGAGTGGAGGACCGAACTGGGAGCTCCCATTAGGAAGAAGAGACTCAAAAACAGCAAGCCTAAGGGGGTCAAACAGAAACATTCCCCCACCAAATGCAACCATTGAAAATCTCCTAACATTTTTCAAGCGTCAAGGCCTTGATGAAGTGGACCTTGTTGCCCTCTCAGGTTGAACTTCAACTTCTCATCATACCATGCTATATATGCTTAATGCTACCAAGGGAAGTTTTAATGACACTCTCTTTAACATTTTTTTTAAACATTATATTATTGACTGAAACTTATTAAAAATTACAAATTTTATGAGTTTTGCATTTAATTTAATAAGCATCTATTCTGATATCCACCAAAATTTATGATTTTTAGTAGAAGGTGTTGGCAAGAGAATTTTAGAAAGTATCGCTAATGTTTATCTTCCTAATAAAGAATTGAATGAGTCACATATTTGAACATATTATTATAATGTAGGTGCACATACCATTGGGGTGGCAAGATGTGCCACATTCAAGCAGAGACTATACAACCAAAAAGGAAACAACCAACCAGATGAGAATCTAGAAAAATCATTTTACTTTGGTTTGAAGACAATGTGCCCAAAATCAGGAGGTGACAACTTGATTTCTCCCTTGGACTTTGGCTCCCCAAGAATGTTTGATAATACATATTTCAAACTCTTACTTAGGGGAAAAGGACTGCTCAATTCAGATGAAGTGCTTCTTGTGGGAAATGTTAAGGAAACTCGTGAATTGGTCAAAAAATATGCACAAGATGAGAGCCTCTTCTTTGAGCAATTTGCCATGTCCATGATCAAGATGGGGAACCTTCGTCCTCTCACTGGATTTAATGGTGAAGTTAGGAAGAATTGTCGCCGAGTTAATTAATTAAGCAGCATAGCTATATTTTTATGACTCATTAATAAGTGTTATAGTTTTAACTACCTAAAAAAGAAGGAAAGAATTTGAAACATGAAAGTGTTTAACCTTTAGTAGTTATTTGTTAAAGAGGGTTTGAGTTGTGTTGCTTCTATGTTAATTTGATATATGCTTAGTGTTGAAAGGCATTTGTCCAATGAAAGGATTTGCAAATATTAATGTTAAGGAATTTAACTCTTTGAAACATGATAACCATGGAAAAGTAAAGAAATAAATTTTAATAAATTCATAGTTTGTTTTGCCTAATGTTAAATAAAAGCATGAACCTTACTGCTGAGTATACGAACCAACTGGTACAAAGTTATTCTTATTAAATCAATGATCTTAAATTCATATATACAATAGTGGTCTTGCCCAACTCAAACTGAATAGTCTTTAACATATGATTCTTTGATGTTATCTTTTACAAATTAGGGAAGGTATGAGTGTAATGTATATATATTTTTTTATTTGTATATATATAATGACATTAAATTCTCTTATATTTATCTTCAATCTTTCATTCTTAGGCCAACAATTGTTAAGATTACATGATTTAAAAATTAATTTTTTAAGGGATTAATACAATTTCTTTTTCTTTTTTTTTTTTTTTTGTGAAAAAAAAGCAATAAATTTTATAAATAAATTTATAAAATATTAAATAAAATACGCTGTAAAATTGTTAACACTCGATTTACTAATATCATGTGTATCATATGCCGTAAGAAATTGGCCGATGTATAGATGTTATATGATTACTTTTGGATTTTAGTCTTCAAAAGTGAGTAAAGTAATGGTGAAGTAATCTTAGTTGATAAATTTAACCGTTGATATTTGAATATATTCATGATTTATGTGCACATAATAGCAATCATTAATAATTGATATTCCTTGTTTTATCCTTTAACTAAAGTAAATTACTCATTTAGAAGAACTTAATCATTTATTTTCCTAGCTTTGGATTCTTCTTGCCTAATATAACTCTAAAATAATTTATTTACTTTAAGAATGAGTTTACTTAATCTTACTTTATTTAATAATTTATGTTTTACATTAAATTTCAATAATTTCACCATTGAACTAATTTTTTTTAATGCCTAGATTAAGTCTGCAAATTGATAAATTTTTTTTGAAAATCACTTGATATTTTATTTTATTTATTAAAATTGATGAATAATCATAAAAGTATTTTATACGTTAATTTGAATTAATGAAATGAAATATAAAATAATTTTCAAAATTTTTAAAAAATTATAGTATTAAAAACTTTTAATTCAATGGTTAAATCTAATATTGCAATTTTCACATTTTGATTTTTGAATTGTATATTAAATTTTAATAATCTAATTATTGAACTTTTAATTGCATTTCATGTTTTTTATATAGGTGAATCTAATGGTATAATTTTCATATCTTGAATCAGTAAAAAAAATTGATTAAAAATCATGTTTCAAAATTTAAAATGATTATTGTTTTAAAATGATTAAGTTGATCAAAATATAAAATATAAATAATCAAAATAAACATTTTAATAAATAAAAAATTAAAATAAATTTTAAAAATAAAATAAAATATCAAAAGTATAATTTAACCTTGATAAAAATACATGATTATATTAATTAATAATTAAGGTAATTAGGAATGATACATATTTTTTTTTGTTAAATTAAGTAACGCAATTATATTGCAAAATAAAATAAAAAAGTAACGTAATTGTGCTTAGTATATTTGAGATTTTGTTATTTTATATATTTATTTAAAAAGTATACATAAGTATATAAGAATTTAGGGCATATATTAAGGATATTTGAAAGGCTTCGCTCCACCGTCTTCGCGCACGCAATTCAACTCAATCCTTATACTCTGTCAACTGCAATCTATTCTCCGATTTCAAACTAAACCTAACAACAATGACGGACGCTGAAGACGCTACACGACGTCGGAATGCGGTCGCCGAGTACCCTAAGAAGCCTCTTCCCAA